GTGGTGCAGGGAGGGAAGGCCACTTCTTCACCAAAAGGGAACCTTGCGGCCACAGATATTCATCCCCTCCCTGGCACACTCCTGAGGACCCTCTGGCACCACAGGAGCTTCCAGCTGACTGGAGGCAAGATACCAAGTTTTAACTGACCCGCCCACATGCAACTGGTTAGAAACCCCAGATCCTTATGGAGATTTACCTCCAGGGGACCTAAGGGCTGGAAGATTGATAGAGGCCTCTTGGACTCCCTCTTTACATCTCTTCCTATGAGAAGCAAGTGAATGAAGTTCCTGTTCAATGAATCCAGGACACTAGTAGAGAACAAATTGGCATCCGGTGGCAGGAAAGGGTCCTTGCACTGTACTGTTGTAGGCTACACCAATTCTGCTAGCCATGTGCCCACGTCTTCACAAAACTGAACCTGGCTTCACCTCTGCAGTAGAGGCCCTGGTCAACATCACCTGAGACCAGGCCACTTGACTTAGACTGAGGGCCTCAGGGTTACTGGAGTATATATATTGTCCTCCCCGAAGTCCTGGAGGAACATGAGACATGGGATCACTGGCCAGAGGTGTGAAGCAGACAGTCCAATAGGTAGGAGGCAATTTTTAACAAGTTCCCCAGAGGCAAACAAAGAGAATGTTACATTTTCCATAAGCCTATGTAAGCTGCAGGGGAGAGGGAGCCAGGTGCTTCACTCTTCTGGTTTAAACCTGTTTACACCTCACCAATCTATAGGAAAATCTAACCTCTACACCACAAATGAAGATCAGGCTCATATATGAAGTGTTCTTTGCACTAAAATTGCCTCATGCAGAAATAGCCTCAACCTAGAATACAATTAGATTTTGCCACCACATTAGCCCTGAAGTAAACCTGGAAGAGGCTAGAAACTAAGGCCACAGGAGCCCCATGAGCCCACAGCTGACAACTTTCATAACCCTTTGGCGTCTCGGATATACCCTGCATTTCAGACAACCCTTAGGAACCTGGTTGAAAACCTATCTTCCTCTCTCCCAATCATAAAAGCATACTAGGATGCACATGGGTGAACAGGTCCATTTTACTCTTAAGTATAGACACTTTCATATCTAGCTTGCACAGACTTTTCTTGTTTTTCTTCTTTCCTAGCAATAGGTCCTGACTCTAAACAAACTGGTTCAGATCCCAACTTACTGCCATTAAGTTTGTGTTTTATACAGTGGGCCATTCCAGCCAGTCCCTTAGGACAAACAGTAAAATCAGAGGGATCTCTGTGCCCCACATTCCATCTGTGTGGACAGCTTATCTGGGTTTCTCTTATCAGAGTCTTCTTGACCTGGAAATTTTCAGCATGATCACTTTTTGGATAATGAGTCCAAGTACTACATTTTCTTATTTGTTCTCTGACGACAAACTATACCACAAATCTAGTATTATGAATGTGCTGAACCAAACTCTTCTCTAACCTTCAATGATATTGTTCCAACTCTCCTCCCATCAAAATTCCTCTTTCCTACTTTTCCAACCAGAATCATCTATTAATTACTATCATTCAGTTCAAGTTTAGATTAAGGCCAATGGCCACCTAGCTTGAAGCCACTCTGGTCACAAACTTGGGCCCAAGCTTTTCAGTGTCTACCTGGAAAGAAATGAGTTAGACCTCTCACTGGGGCCCATATAGACTGTCTGGGTATTGCCACTGTCTACTCCTTATTCCACTTCCCTACGCCTAGTCCCATCCCACCTAACTAGGGCTTGGATCATTTCCATAGCAATAGCCCAAAGGGGTATGGTGTGTATATACAACCTTCAGCACCATCCCTTCATTTCTCTTTCTTCATCACTTACTAATCCTTCCTGGAGTTAATAATGATCCAATGTAATTTTATACACATTTACAAACTGAAGATATGAAGTCATGTATCTTCTTCTTATACTGTAGTCTAAACATTTTATGGAGTTATTCTCAAGTCAGAGGACTCTGTGGCACAGATTTATAAAAAGAGCAAAACGAATGCTCACTGGAGAAGTAAAGTATACTAAGTATACTAGCTAAGTATACTACCAGGAATATTTGACCCTAGCTGCCAAGTTTTTAACTCTGCAAATACCTGGAGTCATTAATAATGTATACTCATTTTATTCATAATTTGTAATGTTTCAGGATACCAAAAGTAATTCTAATGATGGTTGAACAAAAAATTTTAACCTTAAGACATCCACTGATTCATCTCATTCAACGGCAATATTCAATGTTAAAAGGAACATAAAAACAAACATGCACACAACTGCACAGTTTTCATAAATGTCTATTTCATTATTGGTGGGTAGCACATTTAACAGTTAAATACATTTAAATAATGTATAGGTGACTGCATGACTGCAGTATTGGTAACTAGATAGACAACCAATTCAACTAGAAACCAGCTAACAAGTAACTGTCTAAATATTTAAAATACAGCTCTTGTTTAGATCATCCTTTGTTTTGATCACCTTCAGGGGGGTGGCGGGGGGAAGCCTGCTGGTCACACTGGAAATATATTAAGGCCAAATCTTCTGATACCCATTTCCAGAGGTTTCTTTCAGCTGAATTAAGCCTCCAATTCCAGGGCAAGCCCAAGTTTGTGGCCTCCAGCATTAATGCTCTTCCCATCTACCAGGGCAGACAGTGTAAGCTTCACACCTGTAAACAAAAGCAGACAAGCATCATGTACCTGCAACACCTCATGGGAGTCAGCAGTCACCTCACAGCCTGTCACTTTTTCTCGCATGTCGGATGACCTACAGTGCCAGCCACCAGAGGGCACTTGGGAGTACCCGAGAGAACAGACAGTTCACGTGGCTCGGTCCTGAGCAAGGGAAGTATCAAGTCACAGAGCATGAAAATGTGTATCAAGCTCAAACAGTGTGAAAAAAAAAAAAACAAAAATGGCTCTAGAAAATTCAATCATGTTCAATACACTATCCAGACTAAAAGACAATTTGGACCCCAGAAAAGAAAAAGCTACAACTAAGACACACTTTGGGACAAGTAGGGAGATCTGCATATTGACTATATATTAGGTATTATTTTAAACTCTTCATTTCTTTAGCTGTGAAAATAGTATTGTAGTTATGACATCTTTAAAGTGATGCAGTTAAAAATGCCTTACTCTCATATGTATGCTAGGGCTGATGTGTCTGTATGTTTGCAAAATATACATTTAATTTGTAAGAATATGTGGGTAAAAAAGAGAAAAGGATTATGTATACAGACAAGGAGGGAGAAAACAAACACGGTAAATGTTAGTAACTGGTCAATGTAGGGAAGATGAGTGTTCGTGGCACCATTCTTTTCTTCAGGTTTCAGAATAGTCAAAGTATCGGGAAAAGTTCCAAGTGCTTCAGAACCTTGCTATTCAAATGCTGGTTCAAGAGCCAGTGACACTGGCATCACCTAAGAGCTTATTAGAAAGACAGAACCCCATACCCCAGATCTATGTATTCTAATAAGATTCCCAAAGTGATTCATGCACCCTGGTATTAAAGAAGTACTGCTTTGGAAAACAAGCAAGGCTCAAATTATTATGTAAAGTAAATGAGACTCTAGAGATCAAATGACCAAAGCAATCAGTGAACAACGACTGGAGAGATAAAAATTACTACAAGACATTTCAGGTACAAGCGAAGAAAGTAAATAACCAGTCTTGTGCTTATGAAGGACAATGTTTGCACGCTAAACCATTTAGGGAAATGTCAACTTCCAAATGGCCCAGCATTAAAAAAAAAAAGAAGAAAATATTGTAGCAAAAGGTAAACATGTGTTCATTGTACTTTTGTCAACTCTTCTGTATGTTTGAAAGTTTTATAAAAGAAGCTGAGAAATGAAAACTGATTTTGAAAATACCATCAGAACAATCCTTAAAACTTACCAGGCCTCAGAGTCTGAGTATAGCCCACTCCAATTAAACTAGAGTTGTTGACTTTTGCCTAAGATAAAATGCAAAAACAAATGTAAGACAAATTTTTGAATGGAGACACAAAGGCCCTAGGTATTTCCCTATCATACAATCATGACATGTTCACTTTTCCATGTGAGATAATAAAATTTAATATTGTATTAAGTTAAGCAAAAACCTTTTCTAACTTCACAGGGTTCTCAAGGCAAGGATACTCAAGTGGTTTGCCATTCCCTTCTCCAGTGGACCACATCTTGTCAGAACTCTCCGCCATAACCTATCCGTCTTGGGTGGCCCTACATGGCATGGCTCAACGTTTTCTTGAGCAAGACAAGGCTGTGGTCCATGTGATCAGTTTGGTTAGTTTTCTGTTATGGTGGTTTTCATTCTGTCTGCCCTCTGATGGATAAGGATAAGAGGCTTATGGAAGCTTCCTGAAAGAAACTGACTCAGGGGGAAACTGGGTTTTGTTCTGATGGGTGGGCCATGTTCAGTAAATCTTTAATTCAATTTTCTATTGATGGGTGGGGCTGTGTTCCCTCCCTGTTGCTTTACCCAAGACCAAACCAAGGTGGAGGAAATGAAAATAATAGCGACCTCCTTCAAAAGGTCCTATGCACGCACATTGACCTTCAAAAGGTCAATGCCCTCGACCCTGCAGCAGGCCACCACCAACCCACGCCTCACAAAGCTATGCCTAGTAAAAGCTATAAAAACCACAGCTTTTTTTCCCAGTAGTCATGTATGGATGTGAGAGTTGGACTATAAAGAAAGCTGAGTGCAGAAGTATTGATGCTTTTGAACTATGGTGTTGGAGAAGAGTCTTGAGTCCCTTGGACTGCAAGGAGATCCAACCAGTCAATCCTAAAGGATATCAGTCCTGAATATTCATTGGAAGGACTGACACTGAAGCTCCAATACCTTGGCCACCTGATGTGAAGAACTGACTCACTGGAAAAGACCCTGATGCTGGCAAAGATTGAAGGCAGAAGGGGACAACACAGGAAGAGATGGCTGGATGGCATCACTGACGTGATGGACATGAGTTTGAGTAGGCTCCAGGAGCTGGTGATGGACAGGGAAGCCTGGCATGCTGCAGTCCATGGGGTTGCAGAGCCGGACACGACAGAGCAACTGAACTGAACTGAAGCAAAAACCAGGCCCCACTTAATTCTTATCTACTAAACTCAATTGTCAGCAGGACACAAAACTCTTGCTATCTTTGATGATGTACCTACAGACCCTAAAATTGTTCACAGAATACAAAAGCCTAAGTACTCTCATAAAAATTGTTCTTGGTAGGCTGGCGGCGGGCCGAGGGGTGGGGACGCCGGCCGGGTCGGGGGCTTGCAGAGCCATGAACGGGGCAGGGTCGGGCCCTCGCCGGCGGGCGCGAATGTCCCGCCTCGTCTCCTTCAGCGCGACCCACCGCCTGCACAGCAAATCTCTTAGTAATGAAGAAAACTTGAAATTATTTGGGAAGTGCAACAACCCAAATGGCCATGGGCACAATTATAAAGTTGTGGTGACAGTACATGGAGAGATTGATCCTGTTACAGGAATGGTCATGAATTTGACTGACCTCAAGGAGTGTATGGAGGAGGCGATTATGAAGCCCCTTGATCATAAGAATCTGGATCTAGATGTGCCATATTTTGCAGACATTGTAAGCACAACGGAAAATGTAGCCGTATATATCTGGGAAAACCTCCAGAAATTTTTTCCTGTGGGAGTTCTTTATAAAGTAAAAATATATGAAACTGACAATAATATTGTGGTCTATAAAGGAGAATAACTCCTAGAGATTAATTTCCATCCATATTTGAAGATCTTTATCCCCTTGAACAATTAAGAAGTCATCACCTAACTGTTGCACTTCCACATTGTGTTCTGGAATCACTGTGAGTGAGTCCTGTTCTAGACTCAAATCTAATTTAAAACCAAGTTTGTAATGTATTCTGAGTATCATTTAAAGAGTTGTTCATCTATAGATTAAAATCACTTCAGCAAAAAAAAAAAAAAAATTGTTCTTGGTGAATCTAACACAACAAAACCACACCATTATGTGAGTAATTGAAGTTTACCAGGCTAACTACACAATATGACATACACACCACCTTCAAAATATGGCATGTGTATAGTTTAAATTTGTGGCTATGACACACTACTTTCAAGGGTATTCCTTAAGAATCTAAACCATGCATGCTCTAAACCTCCAAATGATAAGCACTTCCTCTGAAGAAACAGACTGACTACAACTTCTTTACCTCACTTTCCCACACTTCTCATGAACAAACATAGGTCCTGGCTGCATATAACTAGATTGTACTTCAGAAGATGTTCCAACGGAGCACTGCTGACCAGTGCAGATCCCTACCCGCCCTGTACAATTCCACTATTTTAGGATTTTAGTCACAGACTTTCAAAGGCTACGAGAATTCCGCAGAGCAAGACACGGTCAGAAGCTTCTAGCTCCGTTCTCCCCACTTCTCCGACCATTAAAGCCACACCAGAGGCCTATGGCTGTAGTGGGATCATCTCATCCCAATCTCCAACGGCCTGGCTACCTAGTCAGGTGCCTTTGCTCTTCAGCATTTTGAGTGCTAAACAAAAAGGTAACAAGCAGTCTCTGGGATCTAAAGAGACTTGGAAATAATTTGACATCTACACTTTTTTTGCAATGTATTGTAACAGCCCAAACGAGAAATGATAACATACAGGCAAAAGTCACATAAATGACACTTGTACTCACTTGGCACTAGAGCCAAGTCTTCATGAGCCTCCAATGACCATGTGAGTTAGTTATCTAAGGAAGAAATGCCCACCAGTAACCATCTTGTGCCAAATGAATCAAGTGTGCTGAGCAGTTCACTCGTGTCCAACTCTTTGTGACCCTGTGGACTGCAGCCCACCCAGCTCCTGTCCATGGGATTTTTCTAGGTGAGAATACTGGAGTGGGTTGCCCTTCCCTTCTTCAGGGGGTCTTCACAACCCAGGGGTCAAACTTGCATCTCCTGCATTAGCAGGCGGATTCTTTACCACTGCGCCTCTTGGGAAGCCTGCCAAACAAATCAAGAGCCCAGACAATAAAATAGCTCCTACTATTTTAGGAATCAACCACAAAACTTATGGAGCATTATGCAATGCTTCAGGGGTGATGCTTGATTATGGTAATAGCAGCACAACTTAGGTGGGATATGCTAAATACATTTCCAAATTAATCCTCAGAAGTCATTCACTGATACACAAGTCCCAAGCTGCCTTCTTCCCATTTTAGACTGTAAAAGAGTTGCATCTTCTGCTGATATTAAACCTGTGAGGGTGCCAGAGACATACATTTGAAAAGAACAGCAATGCAGCTACCACAGCATAGTGTGAATCCTGAGGGTTTTACTTGCTAAGGTGTAGTTAGAAACAGAGAAGGGGAAAATAAATGATTAATCCCTGGTTTGCCAACGGGAGAAGCATTTTGGGTGCTTCTCATTCTCTCTGATAACACCTCTGCTAAGAAACAAGAATGGAGTTAAAACTTAATTGCCTAAATTATTAAAACATATTGCCCCAGGAATGAACATCATTTTATGTAACAGAAGTAACTCTCATGAAGGTTTAATTCTCATTCCAGTACAAACAGTGCCTGACCTGTAACCAACCAACACACAGAACAGTTGCTGACCTGCCTGAAATTGGAGCCAGTGCTCCACACCCTCAGACACTGCACTCCCTCCTACCACAATCCACTATGACTGAGGAAGAAACAGCAGGAGTCCAAGCACAGGACTAAGGTGGCCATGCAACTCAATTAACCTGAGATAAAGGGGAGGAACTTCCCATAGGACTTCTAGTGCTGAAGCTGGGATAGTCCCAGGCAAAGCAAAATGAGCTACCTGGACACCCTAGGCAGGAGGGAAATTGAAAGACTTGCATGTCTTTCAATGTACTTGCATGTCCAGTCCTGTACTATCCCTTCTTTTTTCCCTCCCTAGCAGTGGACTAAGTCCTTCTCCTCTCTAAGCTTTAGTTTCTTCACCTGCAAAACAGCATGTGTACCACTGGCTGCTCAGATCAAATCAGAAGATATTTTGTGAACTATTAAGGTCAGACACAAAGTAACATAATACTATTAGTTCCCAACAAGAATGATAACTTCCCAGGGCCCAAAACACTGGCTTCCCCGGGCCTGGACAGGACTGGGCCTCACGGTTATCATCTACACTCTTCAGTGGGCTTCCGGGGTGGCTCAGACAGTGAAGAATCTGCCGGCAATGCAGGAGATCTGGGTTTAATTCCGAGGTCAGGAAGATCCCCTGAAGAAAGGAATGGCAACAGTATTCTTGCCTGGAGAATCCCATGGACAAAGGACCTGAGGGCTACAGTCCATGGGGTCGCGGAGGGTCAGACACAACTGAGCGACCAACACTGACTTTTTGTACTACTTCAGTAGCTTTGAGGTTAATTAAAACACACTGCTGTGGCCTGGACATCAAACATCTAACACCATCTCCACAGGAAAACCAGCATTCAAAGCTCTTATCTCAACCTGTGTATAAACTGGGAAGTCAGTGAACCACAGTTACAATTTTCAACACATAATATATCCAAAGATTAAGTCCCACAATGAAAATCCCATTCTAAGCCCACAAGAGTACTTACAGAAATGGAAGCAGTGGGATCCAATTGATATTTAGCTGCAATTCCAAAGCGAGTGCAGTTGGTTCCTGATGTCCAGGCAAGGTTTACTGAAGTGTCAAGATCTTCACATACTTTCTGATAAATTGATCCTCCAAATTCTGTACCATCATTGCTATGAGATATTTTAAATTAGTCAATCTAGACTAGACAATGTAATAATGTCTAAGGCACATGGCTGACACTATAGCATTACATTTAAATAAAAGCCATTGCTTACATGGGTCTCTAGTGTTTCACTGAAAACTTTACAGTTTTAAAAACACGAATTGGTCAAATAAATCATGGTATATCCATTCAGCAGAATTACCACGCAGCCACTAACAATCACTAAGAATACATAACGCTATAGGAAAATGATCATAATACATTAATGTAGTGAAGATTATGAAAGTCTTTCTGACATGTATTTTTATATACACACATATAAAAAGGTGAAACATCAAAGCATTAATAGTTAACAAAAATTATACATCTAGGTGGTGGGATTGTGGACAATTTTGGTTTTCTTATTTTACTTCTGTTACATACCAATGCATCATTTTTGTAAGGGAAAAAAATTCTTTAAGTCCTTTCCACATATACATTTACTTTGGGTTAAGAAAAAACGCTATACACTTTAGGCAATCCTATCAAATGAGCACCTTACACATCACAATTAAATGAAAGCACTACTACAATTTGGCAGTATCTTAGCTTTTTTTTCCCCTGGCCACACTGTGCAGCTTGTGGGATCTCAGGTCCCCGCCCAGGGACTGAACTCAGGCCATGGCAGTGAAAGTGCCAAATCCTAACCACCAGACCACCAAGGAGACCCTGTCTTAGTCCCTTCCAAAAATCCCAAGCACATCAAGCCTCATGTGAAATGAACATTCACTCTCTCAGCACTAAAATTCAGAGTAATATTTTTTTATACAAAATAACATTTCTATACACTTCTGGGAGCGCATTCAAGAAATGCCCAAAGATGATCTTTTTATGTTAAGAGAACTCCTTTAGGTTGTACCAAGATTCAGAGATAACAGGAGACAGCAACACCACTGAGGTCCCACATCATAACTCAAAAAAGAAATACTCACACATTAGTGTGTAGCTGGAAGTCCCCAGTCCTGTAGCCCACTGCAAAGTTATTCCTTGTCAGCTTTGATTTGGCACTGTCAAAGGTCATCTGGTACCCAGCAAGCCAGCCCTCATAACCGAAGACAGCCGAACCATGGATTGCAGGTCCAGCAAAATCAAAGTCAACATCACAACCAAGGTTTATACATTCCCTCTTGTAAGATGACTTGATTTTACCACTTTTCTTTCTAGAAAAAGAACAGACTGACTTAAAACTGAAGCCACTAAGAAAGATTTACAGTCAGAGGGTACAAAACAGATTTACATGAATCTCATTATAATGGGGAGTAGAGACATACTTCATTGTTTTATTGAAGTTCACTTTATAGTGCTTCCCCACACACACGCATATTAAGGGTTTACAGCAATCCTGCATCAAGCAAATCTGTTGATGTTTTTTTCCAATAGCATTTGTTCACTTTGTGCCTCTGTGTGACGTCTTGGTAATTCTCACATTTCAAACATTTTTATTATTACTATGTTTGTAACAGTGATCTGTGGTCACAGATCTTTTGATGTTACTACTGAAGACTCAGATGAAGGTTGGCATTTTAAGTTAATTAAGGTATCAGTTCAGTCGCTCAGTCATGTCTGACTCTTTGCGACCCCATGAACTGCAACACGCCAGAATTTCCTCAAACTCAAGTCCATCGAGTCAGTGATGCCATCCAAATTAAGGTATGTATATTGTTTTTCCCCCAATATAATGCTATTTTACACTTACTAGTCAATAATCTAGTGTAAAAGGAACTTTTATATGCACTGGGAAACTAGAAAATCTGGAAGACTTGCTTTTTCACAATATTCACTTTACTACGGTGATTTGGAACTAAACTTCCAATATCTCTAAGGTATGCCTCCAAACAGGTAGCAGGATAATCATAAGAAACTAAAAAAAGAGGAAAAAAAAAACCCACAGCTCAATAAACTAAAAGACAAAGGCACCTGGGGTGACTAGATTGCCACCACTATACGAAGAATGCTTTGCAGAGCTGCAATCAGTCACAAAAACCTATTTAAAAATAAATAATGTTCATTCTAAGTTAGTGCCACAATGATAAAAGGCAAATAGCTGAAGGCAAGCCAAGAACCATACTGCTCACACTCCAAAGGGAGAAACAGAAATTTGCCAACACAAGATATCTGAATGTGCACCTTCCTTAAATACACTGAAGAAAGCTTTAAACTTAAAGCAGACAAAAATGCCCGTGCTTAC